ACGCACATGCGGCCTCTTCTCATTCCCCATCCCCTTCCCTCCTCCATTTTTGTACCTCCTTCATCCGCCCTCCCTCCATCTCAGGACACAGGAGACGGCATTCCCTACGCGGCGCAGCGCACCATCCTCAAGCCCTTCACCCAGGCGGACCCCAGCACGACACGCACGCACGGCGGCACGGGAATCGGTCTCTCCATCAGCCGCCACCTCGTGGACCTCATGGGCGGCCGCCTCTCCTTCTCCTCGCGCCCTGGCCTCGGCAGCACCTTCTATTTTGACCTCCTGCTGCCCTGCGACCAGCCTCAGCCCGAGCCTGTGCCGCATCTGCAACCGGACCTGGTTTCCGCTTTGGGAAGGTTTCCAGAAGTGGAAATGGGGCTGTGGCTGGGGCGGCGGATGGTGTTGCTCCTGCTGGAGCTGCTGCTGGTGATGATGCTGGCGTTGGGCCTATGGGTAGGTCCGTCCTTTCTTCTTTTGGTTTGGAAGACAGGGACGGAGTGGCAAGCCAGAGCGAGATCAGAGCAGCTCTGGTTCGGGCCAGGCTGGGCGCGATCCTGCTGGACGACCGGCCGGTGAGGCTCGGCGTGCTGGAGAGCCTGCTGAACAGGCTCGGCGTGCCGGTGCTCAACTCTACGTTTGGCACCGACTCTCCTGGTGAGGTGCCTTTGCTGCAGCCTCTGCTGCAGCCGGTGGTGGTGTTCGTGGATAGTGAATGGCTTGAGCGGCAACAGCAGGAGGAGGAGGAGAAGGAAAGTGGGGAGGAGGAGGAGGCGGAGGAGGAGAGGGAGGAGGAGGAGCAGCAGCAGGAGAGAAAGGGTGGGGATGACGAGGAGGCGGGAGGAGGGGAGGAGGAGGAGCATGATTATTCGAGCATGTTGACATGGCAAGGCAAGGCATGGGAGGCCATGGTTGCAGCAGGGATGGTGAGGGCAGGAAGAGCGACAGACAGTCACCCTGGGTGCTCTTCTGCCCCACTAACCTTTACGACAGCTGCTGCTGCTGGCGGCACGGATGAGAGTTCTGCTGCTGCTGGTGTTGGCAGCGCTGATACTGCAGCAGCTTTTGGTGGGGAGCAGGGGTGTGTGGTTGAAGGGACAGGTGGGGAGCAGCACAGACAAGCAGTGACAGAGGGGTTGCGTGGGCTGCATGCAACGATCTCCATGACTGACTGGATGCTCCACTCTCCCTCCCTTGACTCCCTCACTGCTGCTGCCGCTGCTGCCTCTGCTCCAGATGCTGCTGCCCCTGCTGCCCCTGCTGCCCCTGCTGCTGCTGCTGCTGCCGCTGTTGCTGCTGCTGCTGCGGTTGCTGCATCGCCTGCTTCTGCGGCTGAAGATTCGCAAAGTAAGTATGCCGTCTGCAGTTGCAGCAACAACTGCAGCTGCAACAGATGCCAAAACAGCGATTTATACGGTAATTTATACAGCAATAGCTACAGTAATTACAGTAGCTACAGCGCCAGCTCACCCCCCTGGATTGCTGCAGTGCTCGTGTCGTCCCACCATGACACAGCCTTTGCCGAGGCTGCCAACGAGGCTGGGTTCCGAGCCTGCCTTTCCAAGCCTGTCCGCATGAGCGCCCTAGCCAGCTGTCTGGGGAGATTCTCCTTGGGGGAAGCGGGCAGGGGAAGGGGGAGGGGGCAGGGGAAGGGGAGGGGGAAGGGGAAGCGGAGGGGGTAGGGGAGGGGGATAGGCAGGGGGTGGGGAGGAGCGGAAGAGGGAAGAGGAGGAGAGGGAGGGAAGAAGCAGGGGTGGGGAGTGGGAGGGGAGAGAGGGAAGGGTGGAGGGGACATGGGGCAGGGAGGGGAGGGAAGGGACTGAAGGAGTGTGTGTGGAGGAGAATAACCATTGGGATGGTTTGAGTGAGGGAGAGAGTGGGAGTGAGGGAGAGATTGGGAGCGAGGGAGAGAGTGTGAGTGAGTGGGGGGATTTGTTGGAGCAGGAGGTTGAGGGGATTGGGGTGGGCATAAATTGTGACGGAGAGAGGGTGAGAGGGCGGAGGGGACTGGCAACAATGCGAGCTCTCTGTGATGATGGGAATGGTGTGGCTGGCCCTGATTCCACCACCACAACCGCTGCTGCTGCTGCTGCTGCTGCTGCTGCTGCTGCTGCTTCTGGCACTAGTGTTGCCTCTGCTGCTCCTGTCCTGACAGCTCATCTTGTCTCTCCTTACAGCCAAGCTCCCCCTGTGGTGCTGTCCTCTCTGGTATCTCCCTCTCTTGTTTCACCCTCCCTAGTATCACCTACACTAGAATCGCCCTCTCTGGTATCACCGAACCTAGCGTCACCGCCTCTGGTATCACCGAACCTAGCGTCGCCCTCTCTAGTATCACCGAGCCTAGTATCACCCCCTTTAGTATCACCGAACCTAGCGTCACCCCCTCTAGAAGCACTGTCTCCTTCACTCGTATCCCCTGCTTTTGACTCCCCCTCTAGGCTCCCACCCACAACATCAGCATCAGCACAAGCAGCGGCAGGTGCAGCCTCAGCAGCAGCAGCACTGGCAGGGGGGAGGGTAAGGGTTGGGGCAGGGGCAGCGGCAGGGGCAGCGGCAGGGGCAGCGGCAGGGGCAGTGGCAGGGGCAGCGGCAGGGGCAGTGGCAGGGGCAGGAGGCAAGACGGGAAGTGAGGCAGGGGGGCTAAATCCGTGGCAAGCATCCCTGGTTTCACCCTCTTCCCCATCCTCCAAGTCTCTGCCGCCCAGCCACCACATGCGGGCGGCAAGCTGGGGCGGCTTTTTGGACATGCCGGGCGGCGCTGTGGGGAAGGGGTGGGAGAGCCCGCAGTTTGGGGAGAATCTTTCCCCCGTGGGAAAACGGAGGGAGGCTGCTGGGGGAAACGTTGCGCCCATTGGGGGGAGAGGAGGGGAAGGGGAGTGGGGGAGCAGTAAAGGGGGGGTAAAGGGAGGCGGGAGTGTGGCAGGCAGGTGGGGGAATGGGGCCAGGGGTGGGGTTGGGGGTGGGGATGGGGGAGGGGGCGGAGGCGGGGGCGGGGGTGGGGGTGGGGGTGGGGGAGATGCATGTGTGAACAGGAGAAGTGTGAGTGGGAACAGGAGAAGTGTGAGTGGGAACAGGGGGAGTGTGAGTCTACGCAGGGAGGCAGGGGGAAAGCGATTCAGTTTCGATGTTGTGAGGCGTGCCATTGCGGACGAAAAGCCGAGGAGAAGCAACAGCGGGGATGGGACGGGAAGCAGGGGGGTGGCACCGGCTGGCCGACAGAACCCCTGGAGTCAAACCAGTCAACACAGTCAACACAGTCCACTGAGCCCGCGTACTGCATCACCAGCAGCAAGGGTGAGGGTGGCACCGGCTGGCAGACAAAACCCCTGGAGTCAACTCAGTCAACAGAGTCAACTGAGTCCCCGCACTCCATCACCAGCAGCGCCAGGAGCAGTGGCAGCGACGGCGGGGGTGGCAACAGCAGCAGCGGCAGCAGCAGCAGCGGCAGCAGCGGCAGCAGCAGCAGCAGGCACTCCCTCCCCCGTGGCGGTGCGCAGGGCGAGCAGCAGCAGTGCGCAGCAGCTGACACAGGCTTTAAGTGGGCGGCGCGTGCTGGTGGTGGACGACAATATGGTCAACCGCAAGGTACCTGAGCAATTGCAGCATGCTAGTGGCTGTTGAGGCGTATGCTGCAATATTGTGATCAAACATGTGAGGCGCCTCAACAGACGGCGCATGCTGGTGGTGGACGACAACATGGTCAACCGCAAGGTGGTTGATTTAATGCATGCTGCATGGTAAGCCATCTCTTGTCACATGGTGCAGTGTTGCGTGACTTCTCTGACAGTGCGTGAGCTACCTCACAAGGCCGTGAGTGCCAGTGGTGGATGGCAACATGGTCGGCCGCAAGGTGATTGATTTAGTGCATGCTGCAGCATTCGCTACTCACTATGCACTTTGTGATAAAACTTTGAGGCGCCTCAAGAGATGACGCGTGCTAGTGATGGGCGACAACATGGTCAACCGCAAGGTAACCGCTGCTCGTCCGCCTGCATGTTGCACTTTTTTTCACCTACTGAGGCGATTTTCACATCGCCTTTTGAGGCTGTGTTTTGAGTCACCTTGAAAGACGGAGTTCTCGTGGCAGCAAACAACGTGGTCCTATTTTTGAGTCGACTCAAAAATTTGAGTGGACTTTTGAGTCGACTAAAGTATCTGGTAGTAAACAACATGGTGAACCGCAAGACGATATTGGAGGCGCCTCAAAAGACGGCGCGTTTTTGTGGTGGACGACAGTATGGCTACCACCGCAAAGTAATCAGCCTCATTTCTTCGTCGATTCAAACGCCACCTACCGCATGGTTATTGATATGAATGTGCTCTTAGTTCACCCTTTCTCGCTCCCCTCCCTCTGCTCGCCCTTTCTCCCTCCTCTCCCTCCCCGCCAGGTGATAGGCCGCGTGCTGCAGCGGTGGGGCGTGAATGAGTGTTGTGAGTGGGCTCCTCAGCCTGCCCTCCCCACCCTCGCCTCCCTTCCCTCGCTCCCCTCCCTCCCCACCAGGTGATAGGGCGAATGCTGCAGCGGTATGGTGTGACGGTGGAGGAGGTGGATGGTGGCGCCATGGCGGTGAGGCGAGTGTTGTGAGTGTGCTCCTCAGTTCGCCCTCCCCCCCTCCCCTTCTTCCCTCCCTTTCATGTGGGTGTAAACACGAACCGCCCTCCCTCCCCACCAGGTGATAGGGCGCATGCTGCAGCGGTATGGTGTGCGGGTGGAGGAGGTGGATGGGGGCGCCAAGGCAGTGAAGCGAGTGCAGGACATGCGCGACGGTGCTGCCTCCCCGCTTGACTGCGTCTTCATGGACATTCAGGTGTGTCTTCATGGACATTCAGGTGTGTCTTCATGGACATTCAGGTGTGTCTTCATGGACATTCAGGTGTGTCTTCATGGACATTCAGGTGTGTCTTCATGAACATTCAGTTGTGTCTTCATGGATATTCAAGTGCATTCCTCGTTCCACTCCATCGTGCTACACTGTCAATACAAAGCTATGGATATATATAAACTGTATACAAACTGTATATATCCACACACTTATGTACATCTATCCATATGTTACAGACTGGTATGCATGTGTTGTTGGTTGTGTGTATATGTATTTATCATACATATTGCGGATCGTATTTACACAAAGGACAACATAGTGCTTTGTGCTGTAAATGCGGACCACAACACGTGGTATGAAAACATTTCACATGCCCTCTTTCTTCTCTTACGTTCTTTTTTCCCTAGCCCCAGCCAAAAGCTGGAAATATATATATATATTTAATAATAACAAAGGCAAAAGCAAAAACAAAAACAAAAATAAAAACAGAACAGAACAAAACAAACAAACAAACAAACAAACAGAACCAATTAAAGAAACAAATGGCATAAACACACACACACTTTTTTTGCCTTTTCCCAATTCTAATCCCTCCCCTTCCCTTTTCCCCTAAACGATTTCTCCATACTCATCAGATGCCGGGAATGGATGGCTATGAAGCAGTCTCCTGCATTCGCAGCATGGAGCAGGAAACCCCACTAAACACAGCAGCAGCCCCGTCCTCCTCTTCAACCTCACCTGCAAACCCATCACCCTCCACATCAGAAATACCGAGAAGCCCATCAGATACCAAAACCCCACCAGCCACCAGAAACCCGTCAGCATCAACTTCCCCACGAAGCACACCAGCAGAGGCAGCAGCAGAAGCACCAGTGGCAGGTGCAGCGAGGGCAGGGAAGGGGCGGCTGCTGGTGATAGCGCTGACTGCGGATGTGGGTGCAGGTACGAAGGAGCGGTGTGTGAAGGCAGTCATGGATGGGTATATGACAAAACCCATTGAGGAGCAGCAGCTGTCGCGCGTGGTGCTCCCGTTCTTTGCTGCCATGTCGGGTAACTTTGAGTCGACTCAATAGCCACCTTGCTCACATGGGAGCGGCGTGCGAAGGATGGCATTGACAGGTACATGACTAAAGCCGTTGATGAGCAGCAGCTGTGATGGTGCTGCCGTTCTTGGCTGCACTAGTAGGTAACCTTTGAGTCGACTCGAGAAGCCCATAGAGGAGCAGCAGCTGTCGCGTATGGTGCTCCTGTACCGGTACTTTGCTGCACTGGCGGGTAACCCGTCGTCCCAGCTCAATTATAGTTAGCGCATGCATGCTGCTGCGTATGTAGTGTATATAAGTGTTGCATGCGAGTAACCTACTCCTCCTGACTATGTAACAGCGTGGGTTACTTACTTTTATGTATGAATAGAACGTAAAATGTGTGGTTCAAACAAAGCAGAAGCTTGGAGTCCTTAAATACTAATGGTTCTGGTTCTGGGACGTAATTCAACTATTTTCTTTCCCATAAGCTCAATGGTCCTACACTGAGATATAGTTTGCTCTGCTAGGTACGCTTTTTTTGCTGTTAATTTGTATTACATGTATTTATCCATGCATAGGCTAGGCATTTTTCTTTCAATTGTAGTCAGTGGGATATGCGTAAATCAAGGCATGCTGTGCTCAGCATCATGTCTGGCAAATGATTTTGCACTATAATAAAATAAAATTTCATTCAAATTAAAGGGAGTGGGGAGAGCTGCTCAGGGGCTTTTGCCATACTATTTTATCAAATTCTGGGTAAGTCTCCCTTGTGGTTGAATATCATGTCGAGCGGCATGAGTTGTCGTCTTAGTTCCAGCTCAGATCATAATATCTGATGAAAAGGTCCAGATTCCAATCAAAAGCGGTAGTGACTGCGTCACGGCTCGTGTCTTTACAGGATACTTTTTGTCCTTCCACACGCTTAATGAGGCGGATTTTGCCTTTTCTCATTCAGGCACAGTGCTTTGGCAGCTTCATCCTTCCTTCCTGCTGTGTTGACTGTTGTTCTTCACGCGCACGATCAAATATCCCGGATTTGCTGGACAAACTCCTTCCACTTGCTCCTCGTCAGCTTTCTTCCGAAATGGGGAGGAAATGAGCGCAGTGCACCCTGTGCCACTTGCTCCTTGTCAGCGCACGCGAAGAGCCTGTACAGTGTTGCTACTGTACAGCCTTATTCCCGAAGCGCAAGACGGGTGACGCAGGACGTGTCAGAGGGAAACGGGGAAGGGGGTAAAGTGTACACATAAAATATCAATGAGCTGAAACGCTACCTAATGGCGAGTCACACACTGTTCGAGCTGGTTAGTTACGGTTCAAAACGTTGAAATGAAACTGTAATAACGGTCAAGGATGGTGCAGCATTGTGATAAACCAATTTTATTTAACAAAAAGTGAACAATGTGTTGTGTCCGTGCAATACCTCGAACTGATGATGAGTGACTAGTCTATTCGTTCTTGGGGGGTTTGGGAAGAGCGGGTGTGTGATTCCACACAGTCGTCATCGTCCATCCAGCCAAGTCCAGTCCAGAAAGATCTGCCCAAGTTTGTCAATCTTGCCGCTGATGTCAGATGTCGAGAGAATGTCCGTCATCGTGGTCCAAGCGCGTGTACTGTATCACAATTCGGTCTGTTTCGATATGGCTGTTGAGCCACTCTCCAAGCAACACATCAGCATCCTGATGATTGGTCGATGTTTTTTTGGAGGTTCTGGTTTCGTAACAGCTTGCTGGACAAACACGGACCGCTCCGCTTTCAGGGAACGGGTGTAGTGCTTTCTGAGCACGGTTTCCGCAAAACAGTGGGCTAGGGGACTTGAGCTCCCACGTGAAGCGCTGCCCCTTCCCTGAAAGCAGAGGGTTCGGAACAGGGCTATTGCTAGGATTTTTGCTAGCTCGGACGATCCGGGCCCCTGTGAAAAAGACCCTGTAAAATACGAGCCAGCAGGAAAAAAACCTTAAAGAATCCGGGTTCGTGCCAGATAAGGCCTGAAAAATTCCTACCAGAATCTCACGGAATGGGGAAATGATCGTGAAACTCACAGTGGGTGGCACGAAGGCTGGGAAGGTTGGAGATTTAAGAGCGGCACTAGAGGGGGGAGCGAGACTTTCTGTCGACTTAAAAATGTTTATATGTGGAGGAGTACTACTTCTTGCCACGTCAAAGCAGTACCGGAAATCAAGGATATTCACTGAAAGTGGCCTATGCGTTGTACACGGGGAGAGGGAGGGGATGCGAAGTAGTTCGAGGACTATAAGTGCTGCTAAAACTATCCTCTTCCCCTCAAAAACATCCCGGAGTGGTCCGAGTGGGCTCGAAAATCACCCTTCAGGTTTACGGGCTGGTCCGAAAATCACCTTGTGAAAATCAGGGCTGCTCTAAAAATCACCTTATAATTTCAGTCAAAACAGGGTAATTGCCCTGATAACATAGGCCCTGGTTCGGAATACAAAGCTGAAAACCCGAACTCGACAGTTGTGCACCGCCTTGTTCACGAGCAGCATTGCCCTGCCAAGTAGCTGTGCCCAATCACCACAACCTCACCCGAAGCCCGCAAGCTGGGACACCTCAGCAGCAACTTTCCCTTCCCCAACCAACACTCCCCCCCCAGCACACTCTCCCCTCCCCTTCCCCCCACCATCCCAAGGCAAACAATCCCCGCTTCTCCCATGCCGCTTCAACGTCCGCAACTCTCCCCAACGCCTCCTCGTCCTTGTTCACCGTACAGTACACGCACTGGCGCACACGCTCCCCTCCCCCAACTCCCTCCCCCATAACGTTTCTCCCCACCCTTCCGCATTCACCCAGGTATTATTTGCTCACCTCACACCAATTCCAACTCAGTATCCGACCTAAACTATCTGACTCAGCTTCGGCTTCTATTTAGCCTACTGCACTTTCTCTTGCACCGTCATTACTGTAATCGACTGCTTTCCAAGTTCAGCTATCTTCCGTCGAATAACTTGCTAAGATAGCCAATGTGTCGTCCACCGGAAGCCGGAGTTCCTGCGGGAGCTGGAACTTCAGGAGCGAACTTCGTCGCTGAAATACCAGGACATGCTCTGAAGGCTGCTGGAGCAGTCGATAATTCAAACGCTCAGACTTGGGCGTGGAACGGAATGATTGGAACGGCAGGCCTACCAAATGGACGCTTTCAGGCGGTTCACGAGGAGCCCAAAGTCACTTTCACGGCCGCACAGTGAGTTAGCTTTCACTTCTGGAATTTACGTTCCTTCTTTTCGTTTCAGTGTGTGTATGTGTTTCCCGGTTCTGCTAGAATTTTCGGTTCTTACTATCCTCATCCTCTCTTCGCAGGCTTCAGCAGCACGGTCAGTTCTTTCCGACAATGACGAACTCGCAACTTCACCAAGCAGCAGCAGCAGCAGCAGCAGCAGCTTCAGCAGCAGCTGCAGATGCTTCAGCAGAAACAGCAACTGCAGCTCCTTCAGCAGCAGCAGCAGCAACAGCAACAGCTGCGACTGCAGCAGCAGCTCGCACAAGCTCAGTCTACGGCATGGAACCCCGTAAAAGGACCCCTCCAAGTTGGCTCTCAAGAAGAGCTGCTAAAGCAATTTCAAGGCTCTATGGTCCCGTCCTGGCAGCAGCAGACTGTTCCTGCAGGGAGCCTGGAGGCTTGGGCGAAGTCTACGGGAGCAGCCAACATCGCTCCGCGTCCAGTTCAAAGCGCGTCGGGGCCTGGATTCGCGTGGGGAGTCAATCCCGAGGTGGATCCGCATCACGCGGAGGAGGATGAGGAGGAAATGGATGAAAAAAGTACAAGCGGTAAGACAACCTTCTCACGCAATTCGCTGCCTCATACTCCGAGTCCATGCCAGCTACCCGCTTGAAGCCGTGTTTCGTTTTGCTTTCGACACGAAAATTGACATTGCGTGCTCTATTTCGTGCAGAATGATGTCGAATCGCGCTTCCGCGAAGAGATCGCGTCAGCGCCGTCAGGTGCGGCTGGAGGAGCTCGAAATTCAGTCCGCGAAGCTTAAGATGGAGAACGCTGCAGTGCAGCGGCGGCTGACCGAAGCAACCGACAAAATTCGTCGCTTCCAGGAGCAGAACGCGAATCTGGAACGCGAGCTTAAGCGGCTGCGGAAAGAGCTGGATGATTCCAATGGTGGAAGCAACGCGGGAGCGGCGGGGTCGACTCTGTCGCAAGACAGCAAGCCGTCGTCGCCAGAGAAAGAGTCTGCTCTGTCGTCCCCTCTCACGGCTGTTACGGACGGGCTGGCCGGCGAAGACTCCAAGGGACCGGGAAAGCGGAAGAGAATGGAGAAGAGCGCGACGGATGTTAATGATTCTCCAGATGATTATTCGGATCCGGTCCTCCTTCCGGCCGTTAACGGTGTTGTGAAAGCTGAATCGCTCTTTTTGAGTGAGCAGGGCGATGTGGGTACGGACGGTGAGGATGAGTCGGATTGCCAGCTATCTGATTCCACGGCGATCACACCTGCTGAGGGAGCTGCAGCTGCGCTTCCCGCGGGTGATGTGAAGGCAAACCCTGTTGCTCCTGCAGGCGGGTATCAGCTGATGGGCCGCGACATGGACGTTGCTGATGGGGAGTTCTTCGCGACCCTGATTGATTGCTTCGACGGAAAGCCCATGGAGGGATTGTTTGTGTGAGGAAGATTTATGGGGTCGGTGGCTGGCACTTCAGTGTACATGATTCCTTGCCTCACTAACAGGAGGTGAACTTCTGAGGAAGGGATTGGGTGTCAAAGCAATTAATGTATTGGGGTATTAATTAATGAAAGCATGTGCCATGCTGCTTGGTTTTCCATTTCTAATTGGATGTACTTACATGTAAAACCGTTCATGGAATAATCTAGTCTGAATGATTGATTTGTGTCTCGTAGCCAACAAACCTGGAAGAACATTCCAAAATGACAGCATTGTACCCATGGATGTACTTTTGCCACCGCATCGTACCGCATAAGCTTAGAACTCGAGTTAGCCTCTCCATTTTCCCGAGGCTTAGAACTCCATTTACCCGTACACCACAGACTTTCTGCAACGGGCTCCACATGGGAACGCGACGACCGCAGTTTGTTGAGCACGTGGGTCCTTGCCACTAATTAGTGTCGTGTGCTTGACAGACATCCCAGCGCAAGCCCTGACGCATTTGGCCAAGCGTACGTACCGTCGGTCAGAGTGTGGCTGGCCTAAGCACCAGACGCATCACGACCGTCCAGCGAGGTGAGAGATGAAAAGATTCGATGTTGGAGTCGTGTATTAACAGCGGATTAGGATCTTACAGTGACGAGCAAGAAGGACGATGAGTGAGCGAATTGCGAGTAGTTTTGGTTGATGCGCCTTGTAACAGCCTAACTTCGTCAGCCTGCGCGCACTTTCCTTACTCGTCGCAATCTCTCAGTCTTTGCCTTAGGAGCTTACGGCGTATGCGATCTCGTCAAGAATGTGCCTTCTCCTCGCAAACCTTCCAGGCGTGTGTCTCTTCCGCGCTAACCTTCACCGCTCTGCATCTGTCACGCTCATTCCTCTGTCCTCTGTCCGTGTCCCTCTCTCTGCCAACCAGCAACTCTTGGGCGGCAAACTGGTTGTGAGGCACAAAGCGACACCTGAAAGGAAGCAGTTCAAGGATCTTGTGAGAGAGCGGTCGCATCAAGATCCACCATCATGTCTCGCCGACTAGCACAACAGGTGGCAGGGATCAGCTTCAGCAGCATCACCCGAGCCTTTCAGCCCGCTACTTTTCCATCCGCAGGCTCCTCAGGGCCTTTGGGGGAGGTGTTTTTCCAGCACGGACTCTCAGCTGCAGGGGCGTGGTCGCTGGTGCAGCAGCGCAGCGCGACGAAGAAGGCGATGGGGTCGACACAGAACGGCCGGGACTCGCAGCCCAAGCACCTGGGGGTGAAGAAGTCTGGCGGACAGGTGAGGAGGGCCTGTGTGTTTGCCACGTGAAAAATTAAAACGTTCTGAGGCGTCTCAGAACGAATCCACTTTTACGCGGTCCAAGCACCTGGGGTTGAAGAGGTGTAGTAGACTGGTGACTTGTTAGGGGATGTGTATTTTCTCTCACCTGTTTGCTGATTCCACCACGACTCGGTGTGGCTTGTGTCTGCTGTCAATCTAATGTTATCCTTAATGCGTTTCTAAAGCCCCCTCCCCCCACTTCCCCCCCCTTTTTTCTTTCCCCTTGTCCTTTTTCCTGCACATTCGCCTTCTCCAATGCATTGTTGGCAGGGAGTGGTGGCTGGCAACATTATTGTGAGGCAGCGAGGAACCCGCTTCTACCCAGGGGACTTTGTAGGCATGGGAAGAGACCACACTCTTTTTGCTCTCAAGGACGGTCGAGTGAGGTTTGAAACCAGATTAACTCCTGCTGGTTTCCAGCGCAAGTACGTCCATGTGGATCCGAATGGAGGTCCGCCTCTTCACCCTGCCCTGGCTAACCTTAGGAGTATGATAGAGGGGCTGGAGCAAAGGAAGAGAGAAATCATGGCAGCGAAACTAGAAACCGCTCAACAATGATTAGCTGTCGAACAGTTGTTTGGAAACACTTACAAAAAGTGAATGTTTATTTCCAAAGGATGTAGATTTTTTGGACAGTTTGCTAGTCCTGGAATTAGAAACACTTCACTGGGGTGTACGTCTTACTATGGACACGTCAAAGCAGTCGCACCTGATTGGTAGTTCTCGATGATCTGGCTTCCCTCCAGCGAAGCACGGAGGGTTGTGTAACGGCAGCGAATCGGTTGGCGTGATCGCCAAAGAACCCCCACGTTCTTTGCCACACGTTTTAGCGACTGTCGCCAGGCTTTTCAGCGATGTTCCCAAGGAAACTGAGGCGACATTATCCACTTTCCATTTCGCGCCAAGCCCAACGGTAACATCACGTCGGAGTCTCCCTCTCAAGCCAAACCAGCCAGAACCAGTCCAACACCACCCAAGCCTGCCTGATACTGATCAGATAGAATTGCCGCCGCCATTGGTTACCAGCTTGAGGGAGGGCCTGGCCAGATTTCGTCCACATAAGCGTCTTAATTTCTCTGCCATTGCTGAGCGGCAGGTGTTTTGTCGCGTGTCCGGACATCATGGGAGGCGGTAAGGGAGGGAGGAAGAAGAAGAGCAAAGGAGGACCGCAGGGAGGTGGCGGAGGGAAAGCACCTGAATCGACTGCTGCATCAGCAGCGGCCGCAACAGCAACGACAGCAGCAACAGAATCTCCAGCAGGAACAGCAGCAGCGTCAAGAACGTCCGCAACTCACACCCACAACGGCTCGTCAGCAGCAGCCATTCCGTCAGCCACCCTTCCCTCGGCTACCGCAAAACCCGCTGCGTCCTTCGCTAAAAATCCCGCGTCGATTGCTCCGTCAGGGACCGTAGGAGGGTCGTCCGCTGGAGTCGGGACCGCTGCTCCTTCTGGCGACGCCATTTCCACCAAGAAGGCGGCAAATGCTGCGTCAAATGCGCCGTCGAATGCGGTGCCGTCAGCGAAAGCAGCAACTTCCGCAAAAATAGGATCCTCTCCAGCCGTTGCATCCGCTTCCAAAGCGGCTGTTAAGGTTGCTGATGCCGACGAGGATGTGAGTCACCAATGCGTCCTTGACGGGACTAAAAATAGAGCCTGACAATCGAACTTACCGATAAAATTGTCCCCCCCATACCCGTCGATCTCTGTCGTCAGGAAGGGAGCCCTCATATCATCCAACGTTCCCCTTCATGTCCCTTTTCCATCTTCGAGACGTCCCAAAGCCTCAATTTATGATGAACGTTTCTGTAGTGTCTCAAAACCCTCAACCCTCAATATCGGCAGCGCGAATCAGCTACATTGGAGTACCTTTTGAGGATTCTCGCGTATGGCAACCGTCAGTTCCACGTTTTCTCTAAGTCGCGTTCGAAAGATGACTCAGGGTCCTTCCAATATTACTCCAACCCAAGCCCTGAAACACAACCCCTCAACCTGTGTGCATTCCCTCCCGCATTCCTGTTGAAGGTGTTTGATGCGTGTGCAATGGAGGTGTCAGCGGGGGGTCAACCAGCACACTTCTCGTTTCTAGTCGCCTCAGTTTCTGCTTGTGTTTCATGGACATGTGAACTTGGTGACGTTTTGTAAGGTACTCTGCTGTTCTGCCCTTGCAGGTGTTTCACGCACGTGCCATGGAGTTGAAGGCGGAGGGCAACCAGCATTTCCAAGCGCGCGAATATGCAGCAGCCATGGAGCGATACGGCAAGGCCATCAAGCTGCTGCCTGCCACTCATGCGGACAGGGCCATTCTGCACAGGTGCGTACTGAATGTAGAGTGCTAGTGCACAGGTGTAGTTGATATGCGCCTTGTTGTGCAGAGTTGAGTGAGTGAGAGGCAGTTGCAGGCGTGCTCCTTCACCCCGTCCTACACTTCAACCCCAGATGCGCCCAGTGGACCACGAGGGGGTGAGGGCTGAGGGGAGGAGAGTAGGACACCGATTCCCACTCTCAACCTTGTTTCTCTCACCCCTACTTCCACGCGCTCTACCCTCCCCAACAACCGTGCGGCCTGTCTGCTGCAGATGCGAGGGCGTGAGGGCAGAGTGTAACGCCAGCCAGCCTTTCTCGCAACCCAAGCTTCTGCCCCCTCACTCACCCCTCCCTGGCCCTCTCCCTCTCCCCCCCCCCCCCACTCTGCACCTTCCCTCCCCAGCAACCGTGCGGCCTGTCTGCTGCAGATGTGTCCAGTGGACTACGAAGGGGTGCAGGCGGAGTGTGACGCCAGCCTCGCTCTCAACATAAGCTTCTGCTGCTTCACCCCTCCCTGGCCTTCCTCCCCTCTCTGCTCCTTCCCTCCCCAGCAACCGTGCGGCCTGTCTGCTGCAGATGCGTCCAGTGGACTACGAAGGGGTGCGGGCGGAGTGTGACGCCAGCCTCGCTCTCAACCCGGGCTTCTGCCGTGCACTTCTGCGCCGCGCCAAGGCGTTGGACGCGCTGGGGGAGAAGGACAAGGCGGAGGCTGACGTGGACGCGATTCTCAAGGTGAGCATAAGGCAGATGCTGACGTGGACGCGCTGGGGGAGAAGGATAAGGCCGAGGCTGACGTGGACGCATTGACTAGGGTGATCGTTACAGCAGAAGCTGGACGCGAGGTACACACATGGTGAATTGGAGGCTGTTCACGCAAACATCCTCCACTGATACCGTGTGCTGCCGCGTTGCCTACCCAATCTGTCCACCCCATCCCCAACCCCATGCGCATGTCTGCTGTGCGCCAGTTCCAATCTCATCCTCATCCCTTCCCCATCCCGTTCCCCACCCCCTTCCCACCAGGCGGAACCCTCCAATCAGGACGCATGGGAGCTCAAGAAACGGCTGCAGAAGCTGAAGGCTCCTCCCGCCAGCAAGCAGCCTTCGTCCGTCCCTTCCTCCGTCCCTTCCTCTGCCGCTGCTGCTACCTCCGCACCTCCATCCCTCTCCACAGACCCACAACCCATCCCCACCGATCCCACCGCCTCTGTCAAATCATCCTCATCGTCCTCTGCTCCCATCCCCTCTGCTACTACAGCCTCTGTCACACCATCCGCGCCCGCTTCTGCTTCCATCCCCTCCGCTCCCATCCCTTCCACTGCCAACCAAGCAGAAGCAGCAAAGCCTTCCCTTGACAGCAAAGCTCCGTCTTCCTCCTCTGCTCCTCAAACCACGACCCATGGGTCTGATTCGGCTTCTGGCTCGGCCTCTGGCTTGGGTTCTGGTTCGGATGCTGGTTCGGGCGGGGGGATGAGCCACATGCCGCAACTGCCGCCCAGGAAGCAGCAGGCAGCAGCCGAAGAGAGGGAGGGAACGGGGACAGGGACAGAAGGGGCAGTAAAGAACGGAGATGGGAAGGCAAAGGCTGGGAGAAAGGGGGAGGTGGGCACAAAGAAGGGAGGGAGAGGGGAAAGAGGCGGAAGAGGCGGAAAAGGAGGAGGAGAGGGGCGAGTGGAGATGGTGAAGGAGAAGAGGGTGGTGAGGAGGAAGGTGGTGAGGAAGCGGATGCAGAAGGTGGTGAGGAGGCGGAGGGAGGAGAGACGAGTGCCAATGGTGCGAGTCAAAGTGAGCCTGGCCACGGGCAGAGACACGAGACTGGCTCAGATGCCAATGGGATGCGGGTGAGTGGAGTTGGGGAGTGAGTGGAGTTGGGGAGTGAGTGGGGTTGGGGAGTGAGTGCAGTTGGGTTCACAAACATATTCGCGCTCCAGCAGCTGCACAGAATCGTGGTCGCATGTTTCTTCATTTTGCGGGACAGCTTTTCTTCTCCCTGAGTCTGCAGCGTCTATGTGAACTCTCACCAGTCGCTACCATATGTTACATAAGCGTGTTCTGCCTTTGCTCTGCGCTCCTCACACCTTTCCACCCGACTGCAGCTTCCAGCAGCTGCACAGAATCGTGGGAGCCTGCATCCCCCGGTGTTGGGCAGTAGAACCCATATTCAACATTTCAAGAGTCTTTCCCGTCCCGTGTGTGTGTATGCGCGCCCCTTCTTTTCTCCTCTCACCTCTCCCTCCGGACTGCAGCTTCCAGCAGCTGCACAGAATCGTTGGTGCCTGCTTCCCCCATCTAAACGGCAAGCCCGTGCTGCTGCACTACACAGACGCCGAGGTGAGGGTGATGATGATGAGGGTGTTGCGGGGGAAAAGAGGGAGACGATGAGGTGTGAGGGCATACCTGAGGTGGGAATAACCAACAATGCATGAGCAACATAGCCACGCATGAGCGACATAGCCACGCATGAGTAACATAGCCACGCATGAGTAACATAGCCATGCATGAGTAACATAGCCACGCATGAGCAACATAGCCACGCATGAGTAACATAGCCACACATGAGCAACATAGCCACGCATGAGTAACATAGCCACACATGAGTAACATAGCCATGCATCAGTAACATAGCCACGCATGAGCAACATAGCCACGCATGAGCAACATAGCCACGCATGAGTAACATAGCCATGCATGAGTAACATAGCCACGCATGAGCAACATAGCCACGCATGAGCAACATAGCCACACATGAGTAACATAGCCACGCATGAGCAACATAGCCACGCATGAGTAACATAGCCACGCATGAGCTAGAATCGAATCCTTGCTTGCCTCTCCCATATTTCATACTTGTTGCAACTGCCATCCGTACATCCCAACTTAACAGGGCGACCTCATTACAATCACATCCAAGGAAGACATTGCCACGGCTCTCAGTATCGAACGAGCGGCAGCAGAAGCAGCAGCTGGAGGGGCATCGTCACCAGTTGCAGTGGCAGCGGCAGCAGCGGCGGCAGCAGCAAGAGAAGCAGCCAAGGCAGCTGCTGCTGCAGCAGCTGCGGCAGCAGACGCACAGGCTGCTCTCGCTGCATCTCTGGGTGCTGCATCTCTTGAGGGAAGCAGCCTCGCTGCAGATTCGATAGTGGAAGCTCCAAAAGGGAATCGGCGGCAGCTCCTCCCGTTGCTGCAAGTGCTGCTGCAGAGTCGATAGTGGAAGCACAAACCAAAGAAAAGGATCACTCAAAGCAGGGGGGGAATGAGGGCGAATTGGAGCATGAGAAGGAAGCAGAATTAGCTGCCAAGGAGGCTGATAGTGATGTGCCGTGTGATGGCAGCAGCACCACAATAACCACTGCTACCACTGCCACCGCCACCACCGCTGCTTCTGCCACTGCCGCCACCATAGCACCCGCTGCAACCATCACCAGCAGCACTGCCAGCATTGCTGTTGGCACAGTGCTGCGGCTGCATGTGACGCCGCTCAGCCAATCAGAGCAGGCGCAGGCACCAGATGTTCCTGCTGATGATGCTGACGTGGCAGAGGTGGAGTGGGAGGAGGAGGAGGAGGGAGAGGAGGAGGTGGAGGTGGAAGAGGAGGAAGAGGTAGAGGAGGAAATTGAGGTGCCTGTGAGTGTGGGGAAGGAGAAGGGGGAGGAGGGAGAGGAGGAAAATGCGGGGGAGGCAGAAGAGGGAGAGGAGGGGGAGTGGGAAGAGGGGGAGGAGGGGGAAGCAGGGGAGGAAGAGGAGGCGCAACAGGAGGTGCTAGTTGATTCGTGGATAATTCAGTTTGCCGACCTATTTAGGGAGCGGCTGGGCATTGATTCGCTCGCCAGCTTTGACCTGGCGGATGCTGACGTGGCAGCAGTTAATAGGGCGCTGGAGGGGACTGTGGAGGCGGAGGAAGCTTCTGAGTTGCTGCAGCAGGCGGCTGCCAAGTTCCAGAGCATGGTGAGTGCGAGTGAGAGAGGGAGTGAGTGGGTGGGTGAGTGAGTGTGTGGATGGATGAGTGAGAGAGCGGAGTGAGTGAGTGTGAGTGGGTGAGTGAGTGAGTGGATGAGTGGGTGCATGAGCGAGCGAATGAGTGAGAGAGTGTGCTATTTGGGAGTGTATGTGTGTGTGAATGCGTGTCACTGTGCAAATGAAGTGCTAGTGTGAGAGTGTATGTGCGAGTGAGGGTGAGGGTTTGCATAACAGTGTGTGTGTTCATTCATGCCACTTCCATTCTCGCACTCCTCTCCCACGAGCAGGCAGAAGTATCGCACTTGAACTGGGGCAACACCGATATCCCTTACTTTTCTTTCCTTCTTCCCCCCACGTTCCCCTCACGTTCCCCCAACGTCCCCCCCACGAGCAGGCAGCAGTGGCGCATTTGAACTGGGGCAACACCTATGTTTGGATGGCTCGGCGCAGGCTCGGGCTCAAACCTGCTCCTGAAACTGCCCAAACCACCACCGCTGCTGCTGCTGCGGCGACTGGCAACACAGAGGAGGATGGTACAAAGGCAGACGAAGGGAGCATTGAATCCGGCAAGGCGGGTGAAGAAGCAGAGAAGGGGGGAGCGGCAGAAGCAGAGAAGGGAGGTATGGAGGCGGACAAGGGGAGGGCGGAGAAGGAGAAGGAGGCGTTGAGAGAGATACGGGGGGATCCAGAGAGGCGAGCAGCCAAGTTAGGGGAGGTGGAGGCAGCTCGAGGGGTGCTGGAGCAGGCTCGGGAGAAGTACGAAGCTGCTCTGACGGTGCAGCCGAACCTGCCAGATGTGAGTGATTGACCTAGTTGACCTAGTTGACCTGTTTGTCTTGGTTGACTTGGTTGACTTTGTTGACTTGGTTGACCATGATTGACCGTGGTTGACTTAGTTGACTTGGAGATGCACTCCGTGTCTCTTGTACGCTCGTTCGACAAAACCTCCGTCTTGTGAAGCCCTTGTGTTTTGAATCCCGTACTGGCAGGCGCTGCTGGCTCTGGGGCAGTGCTCTGTGGAGATGGGACTTCGTCCATACATGTACTACTTCTGATGTGCCCTCACTCCGGCACGCTTCTATTCATTCTCCTCCCACCTTTTCCCGTCCTGACAGGCGCTGCTGGCTCTGGGGCAGTGTTTTGTGGAAATGGCACGAGCAGAGGAGTTTCTGGCAGTACTGGAAGGGGAGGAGGGCGAAAAGTGGGGGGTGCAGTCGGGTGGCGCACTCCAGATACAGTGCTTCTGGCAATGAAACCTCCCTCTCCCCTCTTGTGTCCCCGCACCCCATGGCAGGCGCTGCTGGCGCTGGGGCAGTGCTTTGTGGAAATGGCGCGAGCAGAGGAGTTTCTGGCAGTACTGGAAGGGGAGGAGGGCGAGGAGGGGCAAGAGGGAGAGAAGGGGGAGAAGGGAGACAAGAAGGAGAAGGGAGAGGGAGAGAAGGGGAGTGAAGGCGGAGAGGGGAAGAAGCGAATGAGAGGGGTGCTGGAGTGTTTGGCTCAGGCAGAGGAGAATTTCACCGCTGCTGTCAAGGTACATACAGCTACAGCCCATTTCATGCTAGTTCAGAGCAGTTACTTGAGCCCTTTGTTTCACTGTAACATGACTCGGCACTATTTCGTTGAATCAGGATTGAGCTGTCATGTTTCTGTGCACCTTACATTGTCCCCACCCTTGCAGGAATATGAAACAGAGATCTTAGAGTCGACTCAAAACTCATCTTTCGTTTCTTCTCCCATCCTTTCCCAATTCCCAACAGGCTTGTGACACAATTGAGCAGGATCATTTGAAGCAGCAGGAGCAGCAGCAGCAGCAGCAGGAGGAGAAGCAGAGGAGGGAGACACTTCTGAGGCCGAGCAGGATGGGACGGAAGAGCATGGGCGTATGGCACATGCTTCCAAGGACAGCCACCCGGGTCACAAACACGGTTCCACATGCAACCATGACCATGGCACCCACGCGCACAAGCATGGGCCTGGATGCAATCATGACCATGGGCATGACCATGCGGGGGACCAGGATGCATTCCTCGCTGACGTGGCGGCGTTCCGGCAGAACGTGAACCTCCAGCTGGCCAACTGCGTGTTTGACAAGTCGCAAGTCCAGGTGAGGAGCAGGTCCAGGTGAGGAGCAGGTCCAGGTGAGGAGCAGGTCCAGGTCAGGAGCAGGTCCAGGTGAGGAGCAGGTCCAGGTGAGGAGCAGGTCCAGGTGAGGCACAGGTCCAGATGAGGCTGGCAGATCTTTTGCTCCATTCTTCCAATCAATTTGTTTCGCTAAGAATGGTGATTTGGCCCTCACCCTCTCACCTCCTTCCCTTCTCCCATTCCATCCCGTCTAACGTTTCCCTTCCTCCCGTCTTCACTCCCCTCCCCACACCTCGTTCTGGCCGCCGTGTGATGGTGCATGCAAATGGCATCAGTTCAAGCTATCAGACGCGGGATGGGAGTCGTCTCTCAAGGCAGCAGTAGCAGCGTTCAAGGAAGTGGGAGTATCAGAAGAGGAGGTGCAGCGTGTGCTCGCCACACATGCCTCTTCGCAGGCAGGAAGCTCGCCCCCTCAGTCTTAGTTGCCGTCTATGTTTGGAACATGTCTCACTTGGGGGTGAGAATGATAAGCTATTTGCGTGCTATCGCCTTGTCCATTATGAGGTGGCTAACATTGAACATTGATCAGTACACAACCCACCAGCCTGTTTCAGCCATTACCGGTACTCCAATATCTAATCAGTGTGTGGGGGATGCAACTCAAGTTCCACTCCTCAACACACATTCCGGTACTAACTCTGCATCTGGACATCTGCACGTCGCATCTGGAACCAGATGTTAGAGCACATGTGGAGACACATGGCACATTCCTACATATCTGCAACACATAGCGTACATGTCATCAATTTGGAAGGAAAATAGTTTGTACAGCCTGAATCCTTGTCAGGTGTCAGTTTCAAGAAAGCTCAAAACAATAACAGAAGTGGTAGTGTGTTCGTGCTGGAGGCTAGGTATTCCTAACATGCCAAGAAGACACACATCCACTGTAAAAGACTACTGAAACGATGAATCAAGCTTTTCTAGTATTGATTAATTATGTTTATTTCTGGAGCGCTGGCTTCACCCGTTTCACCGGCACGCTGACGTTGTAAATCGAACCCACCACTGGGTCCCTGGTGACTCTGAAAATCACGTCGTCTTCGTCCTCCACAGCAACGTCCAGAAAATCACCCATGGCGTTGACGATGTCTCCGCAAAGCTTCTTCTTTAATCTAGGATGGAATTCCTCGCGGTCGCTGTAAAGCACTAAACGCAATCTCTCCTTTGCCACCTCCGCGACACTGCATGGCATAACAGAAGACGGATGGTCAGAGAACGAACGGCGCGAAATACCCTTAAAAGGAAAGAGTCACAACGTTAATTAATTACCTTGGTCCCTTCCTTCGTGTGGGAAACACGACCTGCCATGCTCTCGACAATCGGTGTGCGAAGGAAGGTTGAGGCACGAAGTCATCTTCCATCCATGAGGCATTAGCTGTGCACGAGAAATACAATGGAGAATACACAACGTCAATTAATATTGAACGTCGAAACTAGAACGGATAGAAGGACTAACTATGTGACCGTTAAGTCGACTCCAAAGCGGCATCGGTTCTGCTCATGGTTAATATGGACTACTCGGCCGAGTCGGGAGCATGAACTCACCGAAACAGCAGAATGGACCCGACGACCGTTGTTTTGATGCTTGCGTGGAAGGCGACTTAAGCTTAGAACCGCAAAACCCGCTTAATCCACCAGAAGGTAGACAGCTGCCAGGGGACTGAATACAGACAATAAAAACCACGAGTCAGTTACACGGATGCTTCAACAGGACTAAAAACTAAGAACAAGGACCCTCTAACTCCCATACGCACTTCTGAAATACTTCTTCTCAATGAAGACCTCGTGTCAGGAAGATTAACAACTGGTCTAACGGAACGACTTCCTATAGTAGACGCCATTCTTCAAGGAACTGCCTGTCACGAGCGTATAAATCGGCTAACCTGGCTAGAGCTCTAAGTTGTGTGTTAGGGTTAAATTGGGGCTATTGATTCAAAAGGGGCTGAATGGGAAGCGTGGCGGACCTGAAGTGATGAAACCAGCAGTATGGGGAGGAGGGCGAATGAGCGGACGGGGATAGAGAGGGAATCGGTGGCGGCACTGATCTCTCACCATAGCCACAAAAGCGCAAACCACTGGCGCGAAAACCTAGAGAATTCCGTGTGGGGCGGAGAGGTGGTTGTAGGAAGGAAGGAGAGGTGAGGGGGGAGGTGTTGGGGGATGCTGGGGGGACTTCGGGGATGTGAGCAGCTTGAGGGAAAAAAAGGTGGTGCCCAGGAGAGGGTTTGAGCTTGGAGGGAAAGGGGCTGGGAAATATGAAGGGTTTCCCGCTTCCATCTCGCCATTCCCTCGGAGTGAAGGCTCATCCGGGACGTCCGTGGACCTAAGCATATAGTTTGTCATCCGTCGATTGGGTTATGCCTTCGTCATCTCACGTGGCGCCACATCTGAGAGCTGAGGTTTCACCAGAGCTGGCCTGCGTTCGAATCGCTAGCCAGGGCCTGCCATGTTTCCAGCGTGGCGCAAGTGGATTGGGCCTTGCGATAACCGTGCTGCACAGGGAGTCGTTTACGCAACTGTTTTTTTCGTGGCCGCCCTGCCCAACCTAACGCGGTCCAGGTCTTCAGCTGCTGTGTGTGCAGAGGCGCGTTGTCGGCAGAGATATCATGAAAGTTCACCTGCCAAAGATGTTCATAAACTGGGTAAATTTACTGTACTATGCCGAAAACGTTCCAGAATTGTAATGATACAGTAACAGCGCAACATTTTTCAGGGCTCATTTTACTTCTGAAATAAGCTGTGTACTGTACTGGATGCAGTTTGCATGTGCTGCAGTCTGGTGGTTTGCGGAGGTCCTAGAAGCGGAAGAATTTTGAACTTGATGGGGAAGATGAGTGGGTTTGGGGGAGGAGGGAGAGGTGGGGGGAAAGAGGGGGGGCGGCGTGGGGGTTTGAGCGGGGGTTGGCGGAGGAAGGAGGGAAGCCCAGCCAATTTTACTGTACCAATTTGTGGTGGAGCGTGCTACAGAGCAGCAGAGTAGAACTGTACACCAGGCACCAGCTAATGCACGACCGCGGCTTGGGTTTGGTTGGTTTGAACTTTGGACATCAGTGGTCTCGTTTGGAACAATCGCCCTTTTGAAGGCTTACGGAACAAGCGGTGTACTAGCTGTGTTTACAATAAAGATTGCGATTGCAGCCATTTTAAGCAATACAGAACGTGCTCGAAAAGCGTACGGTGACCATTGTCCAACCACACCTACTCTTACTCACGTCCGCTAAACGCGGTTCGCCATTTCAGAGATACCAGACCAGCTACGCGAGCTGGACACGAATCCCCGGAGATACGTTAGACCATCGACGTACACGGAGAAGTGGTTGCCTTTTTTATCGCCTCTGACCGATGCTAGTTACATTACACTAGCCAGGAAGTGGAATTCGAGCGTCGATGCGGCGCCTCGTGTAACGCTCATGACCAGCATGGCTGACACCACGACATCGACGGGATTCCCTTTCCCTGCAGCTGCGACTCGTCGCTGTGTCCGTCTATCACTCTCGTCGCGTGCAATTTCAGTTCGCCGAATTTTCTCACTGCTTCTGCTTCCGCTGATTCTTTCGCCAACCCATTGCGACGCGCGCCGAGGAGGCAGGCCGAGAGGGCGACAGCGGCCCGTCGATCCGCTGGCCCCTGGCGGAGCGCAGCACGCGCAGGCCGTCGCTCTCTTCAAGGTGCGAGTCGCAGGCCGTCGCAGGCCGTCGGTTAGATGGCGAGCTGCAGGCTGTCACTCGCGTTGGTACTTCGCTTCTTTGAAGTAATTTCAGACAAAGATCAGTTAGGGTTTCTCAACTTAATTCTCCTGTCCCTTCCTTTCCCCTCACATTTGCTCCCCTTCCCCTTCCGGGCCCGTCTCAGGCATGGTCCTACATGTACGGGCTTGTACCCCGTGTAAACTACACCGGCAGTAGCTCCGATATAAGCACGGATCGCGCGCACCCCGCGCATCTGCCCTTATTCCCCCCCCGGACCCTCCGTCCCCCACCGGGCTTCGCGTCGAGCGCGTCCGCGGGCGAAGGGGGCGGTCGCGGAAGAGGGGCGCGCGTTCCGCTGGCTCCGCACATGGAGAACTGCGCGGCGCTGACGCGCGCGCGGGAGGCCGCGGAGATGCGCGGACCCGCGGGAGAGATGCCCGCGTGGGCGCGGCCGTCCAACTGCTCTGATTGGTCGCCGGATCCTCCCTGGGTTGGTGTGGGGGAAGGTGGGGGAGGGGAGGGGGAGAGGGAGGTGGAGGGGGATTTGGAGTGGGAAGGAGAAGGAGAGGGGGAGGGAAGGAGAGGAGGAAGGGGACAGACATGGGGATAAGGGGGGGTTAAGGCCGAAGGGGGAGGGGAAACATCAGAAGTTACAAGGGGTACTCCGTTAACTACACCCAATAATCTTGCCCTCAGGCCTCTCACCCTTTTCCTTTCCGTGTTCCACCTCTCCTCCCACGACCTACTCCATTCTCCCTTTCCCCCCTCCCCCATCCTTCCTCCCTCCCTCGTCCGCCCCCCTTGTCCCTTTCCCTCCTTTCCTCCCTTTCTCACCCACCTCTCCCGTTTTCCCCTTCCCCTCAAAACGTCGCCCTTCCCCATCCTTCCTCCTCTCATTTCCTCCCTCTCTCGTCCGCCTCCCGTGTCCCATTCCCTCCTTTCCTCCCCCTCCCAACCTCCTCTCCCGTTTTCCCCTTCCCCCTCAACGTCTCCCCTCCGCTCATTTCCTCACTCTTCCTCTTCCTCATCCCTCCTCCCCTCATGTCCTCCCTGATTGTTTTCCTGTTCCTCCTCCCTCCTTTCTTTTTCCCATTTCCTTACACACCCTCCATCTTCCCTCCACCCTCCCTCCTTCCTCCCTCCATCCTCCCTCCCTCCTCCCTCCGTCCCTCCTCCCTTCCTCCCTCCTCCCTCACTCCTCCCTCCCTCCTCCCACCCTCCCACCCTTCTCCCAGATCCGTGGAACGGACGCGGCCAATCTCGCGATGACACGTGTCGTGCAGACAGACCTCTGGGGGCACCAGTTCCCGCCTCCTGGCTCCTGCTCGGGGCAGGGGGAAGGCACAAGGAAGCTTCTGGTGGTCGCATGGCCGCCTGTGCAGGGCTTTGGCATTGGCGCGCAGCTCCACATCATGTCGGCTGCTCTCAGCCTTGCCGTGGCTCATGAGCGTGTGCTCACCGTGCTGCCTGGGAGCTTTGAACACGCTGCACATGCTGCCTGCAGAGGTGAGTGCAGACATGGGCTTTGGCATTGGCGCGCAGCTGCACATCATGTCGGCTGCTCTCAGCCTTGCTGTGGCATGTGAAAGAGTTGTCACTGTGCTGCCTGGGAGCTTTGAGCATGCCGCTCATGCTGCCTGCCGAGGTGAGCAGTTTTTGTTGCCCAGGGCAGGTTTGGCAGAGCAGAGCATGCATGAACCCATTGGCGCGCAGCTGCACATCATGTCAGCTGCTCTCAGCCTTACCGTGGCATATGATAGGGTGCTCATTGTCTTGCCTGGGAGCTTTGAGCATACTGCACATGCTGCCTGCCGAGGTGAGGCGCTGGGGTAGGGAAGGGGGGGCTAGCAGCAGTGGCGGAGTAGAGAGCGCCGTAACGTCACTCACCAACTCTGCCTGCGTCACGCCACCTCGCCCTCCAGTCTGCTTTTGAGTCGACTCAAAAGCCCTCCACTCACCCATCTCTGCGTCATGCCACCTTGCCCTCTCCAGTCAACCATCTCCCCTTTTTTTCCCTCCCAGTCCGGACACGGGCCATCCCTCCTCCCTCTCCTACTACTTCCTCCCCCTCTCCTCCCTCAGGTGCGAGCCCGAGGGGGCAGCAGCAGGGGCAGAGAAGGGAGCGCCATAACGCCCCTCACCAATCGCAACTCCCGTCTCTTGCCTTACATACCCAACCTCCCCCTCGCTTCCAGACATGGTCCACCCCACCCCTCCTCCCTTCTCCTGCTTCTTCCTCCCCACCCACGCCCCCACCCCTTTCTCCCAGACATGGGCCACCCCACCCCTCCTCCCTTCTCCTGCTACTTCCTCCCCATCTCCTCCCTCGAATGCGAGCGCGCGGGCGCAGCAGCAGTGGCAGAGAAGAGAACCACTGTTTACGCAAGTGCGGGACCACCTGTCTGCGTTCGACAACTCAGTGGCAGAGAAGAGAACCACTGTTTAAATTCTTTCAAAACCTTTTTGCTCCCCACTATCTCAATCTCATGCCCCTTATCCCCCCAACCCATCCTCCCCACCCACGCCCCTACCCCTTTCTCCCAGACACGGGTCACCCCTCCTCGCTCTCCTGCTACTTCCTCCCCATTTCCTCCCTCGAATGCGAACGGGCGGGCGCAGCAGCAGTGGCGGAGAAGAGAGCACCGTACGCACCACGCAACTTGGAGGAGATGAAGGTCGCTCTAGCCTCAGACGAGCCTGCTTTTTACATACCCGCCAACTTCCCCTGGCCTCTGCGCTTCAAGTTGCAGGCTGACGCCGCCAGGTAATGTTGTACGCACCGTGCCTATTTTTGAGTCGACTCAAAAATTCTGCCTGGTAATGTTGCACGCATTTTGAGAATTCTCAGAAGCGCACCGTGCAAGTATGAGGAGATGACGAGTGCTCTCCCTGGCCTCTGCGCTTCAAGTTCCAAGCTGACGCCGCCAGGTAAAGTTGTTGTACGCACCGTGCAAGTATGATGAGATGCCGAGTGCTCTCGCATCAGACGAGCCTTGTTTCTTACGTACGTACCGGCCAACTTCCCCTGGCCTCTGCGCTTCAAGTTCAAGGCTGACGCTGCCTGCCAGGTAGTAGTTCTGTTCTGACTTGTCTTTTGTGGGATGGAAACTCACCTTTAATTGTTTCCGGACACCATTTTTTCACCATGTTTTTTTTCTCACCTTTTGCACTCACCTTTTTTTTTTTTTTTTTTTTTTTGTCCGCAGGTTGCCTCAAATCCCCCCTTCACCTGCTCCCCCTCGGCCATTGATAAGAGTCGACTCAGAAGCCATTTCTTCCTTTCCCCGCCTTCCTTTCCTGTCCCCCTTTCACTCCCTTTCCTCCTCCCTCCCTTCCTCCCACCCACCCATCAGTATCTGGGGTTCTCCCTGGTACGACCGGCCAATCACAGTGCACCACGTGGGAGGCTCTCCTGACATGTCAGATGAGCTGCTCAAGGTAACGGACCAATCAGAGGGCACCGTAACTCACCGTGAGGCGCATTGAAGGTAACTCGTTGGACCAAGAATCAGTCACCACCTTTTTCTATCTTGTTTTTAGTCGATCAAAACATGAACCTTGAATCACCATGTCCTATCTAGTTGACAGCCTATCTGACTGTCTACCATCCATCCGCCCA